TTTATAAAATGTTCTGCAATAGGTTAAATTCTGTGAAAATCCAGTTTCTTTATAAAATGAAATAACTTTATAAGGTATTTCTCCCGCCTTCTTAAAATGCCTTCGTAGTGCAGTGGTCAGCACACTAGGCGCGTATTCCAGAGGTCCGTGGTTTGATTCCCGGGAAAGGCGTTGCTCATTTTTCCTTTGTCTTGCTTCCAAAAAATACATAACGGCTCTACAGTGGCGCTCGAACTAAAAGGGTGTGGATAACGATTCTCCACACCCATGATTTGGCGATTGGGTCCCCTGAAACTCCAGTCGCCCTCTAAAAGGAGGAGTATATAAAGTGTTTCTCCCGCCTTCTTAACATGCCTTCGTAGTGTAGTGGTCAGCACGCTGGGCGCATATTCCAGAGGTCCGGGTTCGATTCCCGGAGAAGGCCTTGCTCGTCTTTCACTTCTCCTGCTTCCAAAAAAATACCTAATGTACATCTACAACTTGTACTTTTGGAGAGAAATTACTATTAATTTACACTCTTTTGTCAGAAGTGAGATCTTAACTTCCTTCATATATAAGTAACCATGAAATGTAATTTTCTTATTTTTATATTGTTATCGTTTAAATAATTTATATATATGTTTAAAAATGAATATCATAATTATATTCTCTTAACCTCTCCAGTAAGAAACACTTTTGTATAGTTAGTTTTGATGTTTTTCTTAATATGTAAGGTTTATACTAACTAGTTTCCTTTAGAAAGTCCTCCACAAAGCATCCCTCCTCTTATATAGGTAGTCCTTGTGGGTTTTGCGATATTGAAATAACCTAACCTATAAGACATATTTTTCTCTAGCTAAGTCTGTTAATAAGGAAATTGAGTTATTTTAACAACACAAGTTAAATATATGATATATAAAAGCGGGATATAATTTACAGGAAGAAAAGATCTAATGCAATAAATTTACAAAGTAAAAAAAAATTAAATAATTTTAGAAATTTACATAAGGGAAACATGTAGAAAAACATAAAAACTATATGGGTCGAAATGCAACTAGGGCGGTCGAAATGCGAAACTATATGGGTATCTGCCTAAAGTGAGGGTTGCCTTCATGGAAAGCTTTCTAAGTAAAATTGGCTTTACATTACACAAGAGAAAAACAAGAAACAAACCATCTGGCAAGCCCGTTCGTTTGGGATCGAATTCTCAGCCCTCAGCAGTTTTTAAGAATTTTGAAATTTCTGGCGCTAGTGTGATTGGTTTTTAATTTCATGAATATTACGTACTCGTTGCTTACAGAGCCTTTTCATTTTACATAGGGCTGGTGATGAGAAAGTAAACTTTCTCAACTTTATTAAAAAAATCAAGTTGTCATATAAATAATAGCGCAAAATCTTGGCATTAGTTGCTAAAATTTATGAAATGAAAGCGTCCACTATACAAGAGATGTTACGATGTGAACAAAAATGCCAATTTCGCTACCGCCAAGTGCTCCGTCACCAAAATTTAAGCTTTATAGAAAAGCTGTTAAGCTGATTAATATCGGAAAACCATAGTTGACTTGAAGATCAAATCCAAAAACCATTTCCAATGAGTTCTTTCATAATCACAGAAAATGCGAATAGCAGTGCAGGATTTACGTATAAGCCACAAAAGCTATAGCTTAGGTGGCCTCAAAAATCCTATTTATCACATTTAATATTTGAACTTATATAAATGTTCCCATATCTCAAATAGCTTAGAGCCTTATCAAGTCTAAATCCGGCCCTGGCGAAGAATCTTCATGAGAATGATTAACGTCTTTGGATGAAAGTAAAAAAGCGATCTTCATAACTTCCATGGAAAAGCCGAAATTGAACAGTCCTGTTTTACTAAACAAGATCAAGTTTGTTGGCGCGTTTGTCTCAGATGACTACACAGCAACTTATAGGTTTAGGCGGTTAAACGATTTTGTAGGAAAGAAAAATGGCATAATTCAAAAGAAGTCTTCGGTGTGAAGGAGAGGAATCTTTTTTTAACAACTTTTGAGAATTTTTAGACCTGCATATAGATTTAAAGCTGGCAAAGATAAACATATTTCAAAGTTTTGTGCGAAAACGAAGTCTTTGCTTCTTTTTAAATCATTGAATGCACGAGCTTTCGAGGCTAAAGAGACAAGCTAGCCAGTGTTTTGTAGAGCTTTTAAAGTCTTTAGGTTATATCGATGCTGGAACGTGAAACATATGCATTACACTCGCTGGGAATCGAACGTCGCACCTCCTGAATATGTTTCGAGCATTCTTCTAGTTACACCACGAAGGCATGCGATGTGGAAAGAGATAATACAACTTAAGCTAGCAGAACAACATGAAGGACTTCCAATGAAGACATTCGTTAAACTGCTTGTTTCTTTCAGAAGTAAAGTCTTGCGTAATATTAAACAGCATTATATGTTAAAATTCTTTTGTTAATTGTGAATGTCCCACTTCATCTACAATCCCTGACGTTTGATCATTTGGGTTTGAATTCATAATTTTGTCACTAAATACTATTTCATTTGTAGACCGTGAAAAAAAAAAAAAAAAAAAGGGACAGTTCTCTATCTCGCGTTCTCCTGGGCCGATTGACGAAATTCAAATTGCATCGAAAGCGTGACTTAGGATATATATTAGATTTATATATAGCATTGTTTTAATATACATATTTTGACACAAAAATCGGGCTATTTCTGAAATAACATGACAATTTTTTTTATACATTTCAATTCTACGACTCATATTATACCTAAATATTAAATTTTGTAAAATTTCGAGCGAAATTTACCGAAAAATTCAAACATTTAACTTGGCGCGTTTTTTTTTATTTTGCGCCAAGTATAATTCACTCGGTGAACTTTTTAATATATGACGTATATCTTCAGAAGTTTTTGAATCAAAAACTCTAATTTTTTTGTAGGTATGCTTAAAAATACATCTAACTACATATAAAAAATACATACTAAAAATACTACTTTAGACTTATAATTTAGTACTAAAATTACATACTTTAAGATGACGGTAAAATTTTATAGATTATATTCAGAATGTTTTTCGAAAATTCTAAAAATTTTAAAAATTCATAAAAAATAGTGAATTTTGTTTGGAATGAACCTAACTTGCGATTTGTGAAAGGAAGTATCAAGTAAGTTTAATAAGAAAAGAGAGATTAAAAAATATATACCAAATTCAATGTACATTGAGGAGTTAAAATTCTGAGAGCTAAATTTTTAAAAACTGCTCTTGCGAATTTTACAAAATTTGGTAGTTTGGCATAATTGGAGTCGTAGAATCGAAATATGGAAAAAATAATTGGCATATCATTTCAGAAAAAATCCGATTTTCTGCCATAATACCTATATTAGAACAATGCTATATGTAAATCTAATACATATCCTAAGTCACGCTTTCGAGACAGGAGAAATGCAAGTTGTCAATCGGCCCAGTAGAAAGACAGGTTGATGTAATGAACGAACTTTTGTTGAAAATCTGAGAAGTGTCGGGAAATATTTGTCAAAATTCAATCCTTAGATATTACTCCTCATAACTAAAATTCGTAATATAAATTCATTAGTTAATTTTGCCAATTTAAGACATTCACAATTTTTTTAAAGTTTTGATTTCTGGAATTTCTACTAAATGATAGTGATACTCAAGCTTTACCAAGAACCCTAGCTCACCTACCCGAAAAAAGAATTAAATACTAATGGAGAAATTATGAAAATTATTCCCAGTTCATTAAGCACGTAAGAAATTTTGCCCCTCCCAAAGAGTGCCTTCGGGGTGTAATTGGAAGTACGTCCGGCAAACGCCTGGCGAATCTCGGTAAAGATGCTTACCTAACTACTTAAACTTTAAACTATACTTATTACTTAAACATGTTTGTAGTAAGAAACATGAATAATGAAATTTCATGTTTCTTACTGCAAACAAGTTTAAGTAGTATAATGTCGTTGCGATGAACAGGCTATTAGCATATATCTTTAATCAGACAAACAGTAATAATTTTCAAAGAATTTCACAATTTTTGAGTTAAGAAAACTTATTATAATTTGAAGGACCCATAATAATTTTTTATACTCGTAAAACGTTTTATTTACTTACATAATAAAACATATACAAACACATTAGAAATAAAAGCACTCTCAAGAAATCTGCTCGTATATATCTGATACAGCAAACAAATAATAATAATAACAATTTATAAACACAATTATAACAGTTCTATATACCGAATGCACTAGAAAGGAAAGAGGTTGAAATGCAATAAATGTTCTGAAAGCTTCAGTACACGTAAGAAAACTATTCCAGGGTTGATTTTTAATGCTATTTTGAAGAGATGGTAAATAAAAATAAGCGGGAAAATAAAATTTTAATATACGCAAAACTTACATATATATTAAATTTTTAATTTTCTATCAGATTAAAACTTTTGTAATAAAAAAAAACATGATATATTATAAGACTCTGTCAAAGCAGATTTCGGCCTAGCAACTCAGTAATCTGCTACGTAAATACAGGGAAATCATTAACCGCAACAGTTATTTTCGTAACATTTCAGACAATGATCATAAGTTTACACTTTTTATATTTCTGGTACAATTTGTGTACACTATCAGTAATGCAGAATTTTCTTATAACTTACACACATTTAGGTGAATATGGAAGGTATTATATAAAGCTTCATAAAATCTAACTGAGTATATCCCATCTTTGAAGGCACAGTCAATTCCATTAGACGTTCTACCACAAAAGTCACTAGCAGAAGCAAGTCCACTTTTGTTATGAAAGAGAGCACAAAAAAATTTATATTTATCTTTTGGACAAAACAGGATTGTACTTTTACTGGTACATTAATATTTAAATAGTTTGAAATATTGAAATAAATAACATAAAAATGTGATATTTAAGATATTATTTAAATAGATTTGAATTTCACTTATCAAACGTAATACTTATAAATGCATGAAAAATTAGAATTAATTAAAACTCGATTTTAATTACAGCTCTGGAATTTGATATCGGTGGACCACTAGACTTTAGTGCAAATGTCGGTGCAGGCATAAAAGTTGACGTCGGAACAGAAGTGGAGGTTGGTGTTTCAGCTCATGCAAGCGCATCCGCCTCTGCCGAATTGGACGTCGCGGCAAGTGCATCAGCCACTGCCAAATTAGACCTTGCGGCAAGTGCATCCGCCTCTGCCGAATTGGACGTTGCGGCAAGTGCATCAGCCTCTGCCAAATTAGACCTTGCGGCAAGTGCATCCGCCTCCGCCAGCGCATCAGCTAAATTAGACATTTCGGCAAGTGCATCTGCCTCCGCCAGTGCATCAGCAGAAATAAGCATTTCGGCAAGCGCATCTGCCTCTGCCAGTGCATCCGCTTCCGCTAAATTAGACGTTTCGGCAAGTGCATCTGCCTCCGCCAGTGCATCCGCAGAATTAGACGTTTCGGCAAGTGCATCTGCCTCTGCCAGTGCATCCGCTTCCGCCAATTAAAAGTTAGAGTGCATCCGCCGAATTAGACGTGCAAGTCATCTGCCTTTCCGCCCGCCCTCCGCAAATTTAGACGTTTCGGCAAGTGCTCTGCCTCCGCCAGCGCATCCGCTGACTTAGACATTTGCAATTTTTTTTTTTTTAGATTCAATCGGAATTAACCTCGGCAAGTGCATCCGCCTCCGCGCGAATTGACATTTCGGCAAGTGCATCTGCCTCCGCAGTGCATCAGGAATTCTTTCGTGCGTCTGCCTCTGCCAGTGTCAGCGAATTGACATTTCGGCAAGTGCATCTGCCTCCGCCAGTGCATCAGCAGAAGTAGACATTTCGGCAAGTGCGTCTGCCTCTGCCAGTGCATCCGCTTCCGCCAAATTAGACGTTTCAGCAAGTGCATCCGCCTCCGCCAGTGCATCAGCTGAATTAGATGTTTCCGCTAGTGCATCCGCATCCGCCAAATTAGACCTTTCGGCAAGTGCATCTGCCTCCGCCAGTGCTTCTGCCGAATTAGATGTTTCCGCAAGTGCATCCGCCTCTGCCAGTGCTTCTGCATCCGCCAGCGCATCAGCTAAATTAGACGTTTCGGCAAGTGCGTCTGCCTCTGCCAGCGCATCCGCTTCCGCCAAATTAGACGTTTCAGCAAGTGCATCCGCGTCCGCCAGTGCATCAGCTGAATTAGATATTTCGGCAAGTGCTTCTGCCTCCGCCAGTGCATCAGCAGAAGTAGACATTTCGGCCAGTGCGTCTGCCTCTGCCAGTGCATCCGCTTCCGCCAAATTAGACGTTTCAGCAAGTGCATCCGCCTCCGCCAGTGCATCAGCTGAATTAGATATTTCCGCAAGTGCATCTGCCTCTGCCAGTGCATCCGCCAAATTAGATGTGTCCGCTAGTGCATCCGCATCCGCCAAATTAGACGTTTCAGCAAGTGCATCCGCCTCTGCCAGTGCTTCTGCATCCGCCAGCGCATCAGCTAAATTAGACGTTTCGGCAAGTGCGTCTGCCTCTGCCAGTGCATCCGCTTCCGCCAAATTAGACGTTTCGGCAAGTGCTTCTGCCTCCGCCAGTGCATCAGCTGAATTAGACATTTCAGCAAGTGCGTCTGCCTCTGCCAGTGCGTCCGCCGAATTAGACATTTCGGCAAGTGCATCTGCCTCTGCCAGTGCTTCTGCATCCGCCAGCGCATCAGCTAAATTAGACGTTTCAGCAAGTGCATCCGCCTCCGCAAGTGCTTCAGCTGAATTAGATATTTCGGCAAGTGCATCTGCCTCTGCCAGTGCATCCGCCAAATTAGATGTGTCCGCTAGTGCATCCGCATCCGCCAAATTAGACATTTCGGCAAGTGCATCAGCATCGGCCAGTGCATCCGCCGAATTAGACATTTCGGCAAGTGCGTCTGCCTCTGCCAGTGCATCCGCTTCCGCCAAATTAGACGTTTCAGCAAGTGCATCCGCCTCCGCCAGTGCATCAGCTGAATTAGATGTTTCGGCAAGTGCATCTGCCTCCGCCAGTGCTTCTGCATCCGCCAGCGCATCAGCTAAATTAGACGTTTCGGCAAGTGCTTCTGCCTCTGCCAGTGCATCAGCTGAATTAGACATATCAGCAAGTGCGTCTGCTTCTGCCAGTGCGTCCGCCGAATTAGACATTTCGGCAAGTGCGTCTGCCTCTGCCAGTGCATCCGCTTCCGCCAAATTAGACGTTTCAGCAAGTGCATCCGCCTCCGCCAGTGCATCAGCTGAATTACATATTTCGGCCAGCGCATCTGCTGACTTCAGTGCCAGTGCCTCGGCCGACCTCAGTGCCAGCGCTTCGGCTGACATCAGCGCCAGCGCATCCGCTAGCCTTAGCGCCAGCGCATCCGCTAGCCTCAGTGCCAGCGCATCGGCTGATATTAGCGCTAGCGCATCTGCTGACTTCAGCGCCAGCGCATCGGCTGACATTAGTGCCAGCGCTTCGGCTGATATCAGTGCCAGCGCATCCGCTAGTCTCAGCGCCAGCGCTTCAGCTAGCCTTAGCACTAGCGCATCTGCTGACTTCAGTGCCAGCGCTTCGGCTGACGTCAGTGCCAGCGCATCGGCTAGTATTAGCGCCAGCGCATCTGCTGACTTGAGTGCCAGCGCATCTGCAGATTTCAGTGCCAGCGCCTCCGCTGACCTCAGTGCCAGCGCTTCGGCTGATATCAGTGCCAGCGCCTCTGCTGACTTCAGTGCCAGCGCTTCGGCTGACTTCCGTGCCAGTGCCTCGGCTGACCTCAGTGCCAGCGCATCGGCTGATTTAAGTGCCAGCGCTTCGGCTAGTCTTAGCGCTAGCGCATCTGCTGACTTGAGTGCCAGCGCATCTGCTCACTTCAGTGCCAGCGCTTCGGCTGACATCAGTGCCATGGCCTCGTGCTGACCATCAGTGCCAGCGCCAGCAGCAAGCGCATCTGCCGCGCCAGCGCATCTGCTGACATCAGTGCGCGCATCGCTGACATCATGCCAGCGCATCTGCTGACTTCATTGCCAGCGCTTCGCTGGCTTGATTGCCAGCGCCTCGGCTGACTTCAGTGCCAGTGCCAAGCCTCAGCGCCAGCGCAGCCTTAGCGCGGCCTCAGCTGACTTGAGTGCCAGCGCAATCGGCAGTGACTTCAGTGCCAGCGCTCGGCTGACATCAGTGCCAGTGCATCGGCTGAATTTAGTGCTAGCGCTTCGGCTGATTTAAGTGCCAGCGCTTCGGCTAGCCTTAGCGCCAGCGCCTCAGCTGACTGAGTGCCAGCGCATCGGCTGACTTGAGTGCCAGCGCATCGGCTGACTTCAGTGCCAGCGCTTCGGCTGACTTCAGTGCCAGTGCCTCGGCTGACTTCACTGCCAGCGCTTCGGCTGAAATCAGTGCCAGCGCATCCGCTAGCCTCAGCGCCAGCGCATCGGCTGACTTGAGTGCCAGCGCTTCGACTGGACCTTCAGTGCAGCGCTCGCTGACTTCGGCCAGCTGACTTCTGACTCAGTGCCAGCGCTTCGGCTCGACTTCAGTGCCAGCGCATCGGCTGACTTCAGTGCCAGCGCTTCGGCTGACTTCAGGCCAGTGCTCGCTGCTTCAGTGCCATCGCGGCTGACTTCAGTGCCAGCGCTTCGGCTGACTTCAGTGCCAGTGCCTCCGCTGACTTCAGTGCCAGCGCATCGGCTGACTTCAGTGCCAGCGCTTCGGCTGACTTCAGTGCCAGTGCCTCGGCTGACTTCAGTGCCAGCGCTTCGGCTGACTTCAGTGCCAGCGCTTCGGCTGACGTCAGTGCAAGTGCCTCGGCTGACTTCAGTGCCAGCGCCTCGGCTGACTTCAGTGCCAGCGCTTCGGCTGACTTCAGTGCCAGTGCCTCGGCTGACTTCAGTGCCAGCGCTTCGGCTGACATCAGTGCCAGCGCATCCGCGAGCCTCAGCGCCAGCGCATCGGCTGACTTGAGTGCTAGCGCATCGGCTGACTTCAGTGCCAGCGCATCGGCTGACTTCAGTGCCAGCGCTTCGGCTGACTTCAGTGCCAGTGCCTCGGCTGACTTCAGTGCCAGCGCTTCGGCTGACATCAGTGCCAGCGCATCCGCTAGCCTCAGCGCCAGCGCATCGGCTTGACTTCGGCTGACTTGAGTGCCAGCGCTTCGGCTGACTTCAGTGCCAGCGCATCGGCTGACTTCATGCCAGCGCTTCGGCTGACTTCAGTGCCAGTGCCTCGGCTGACTTCAGTGCCAGCGCCTCGGCTGACTTCAGTGCCAGTGCCTCGGCTGACTTCAGTGCCAGCGCTTCGGCTGACATCAGTGCCAGCGCATCCGCTAGCCTCAGCGCCAGCGCATCGGCTGACTTGAGTGCCAGCGCTTCGGCTGACTTCAGTGCCAGCGCATCGGCTGACTTCAGTGCCAGCGCTTCGGCTGACTTCAGTGCCAGTGCCTCGGCTGACTTCAGTGCCAGCGCCTCGGCTGACTTCAGTGCCAGTGCCTCCGCTGACTTCAGTGCCAGCGCATCGGCTGACTTCAGTGCCAGCGCTTCGGCTGACTTCAGTGCCAGTGCCTCGGCTGACTTCAGTGCCAGCGCTTCGGCTGACTTCAGTGCAGCGCTCGGCTGACTTCAGTGCAGTGCCTCGGCTGAGTGCTCGGTGACTTCAGTGCCAGCGCTTCGGCTGACTTCAGTGCCAGTGCCTCGGCTGACTTCAGTGCCAGCGCTTCGGCTGACATCAGTGCCAGCGCATCGGCTGACTTGAGTGCTAGCGCATCGGCTGACTTCAGTGCCAGCGCATCGGCTGACTTCAGTGCCAGCGCTTCCTGACTTCAGTGCCAGTGCCTCGGCTGACTTCAGTGCCAGCGCTTCGGCTGACATCAGTGCCAGCGCATCCGCTAGCCTCAGCGCCAGCGCATCGGCTGACTTGAGTGCCAGCGCATCGGCTGACTTGAGTGCCAGCGCTTCGGCTGACTTCAGTGCCAGCGCATCGGCTGACTTCAGTGCCAGCGCCTCGGCTGACTTCAGTGCCAGTGCTGCCTGGCTGACTTCAGTGCCAGCGCTTCGGCTGACATCAGTGCCAGCGCATCCGCTAGCCTCAGCGCCAGCGCATCGGCTGACTTGAGTGCCAGCGCATCGGCTGACTTGAGTGCCAGCGCTTCGGCTGACTTCAGTGCCAGCGCATCGGCTGACTTCAGTGCCAGCGCTTCGGCTGACTTCAGTGCCAGTGCCTCGGCTGACTTCAGTGCCAGCGCTTCGGCTGACTTCAGTGCCAGTGCCAGCCTCGCGACTTCAGTGCCAGTGCCTTCGCTTTCAGGCCAGCGCTCGGCTGACTTCAGTGCCAGCGCTTCGGCTGACTCAGTGCAGCGCTTCGGCTGACTTCAGTGCAAGTGCCTCGGGTGACTTCAGTGCCAGCGCCTCGGCTGAATTCAGTGCCAGCGCTTCGGCTGACTTCAGTGCCAGTGCCTCGGCTGACTTCAGTGCCAGCGCTTCGGCTGACATCAGTGCCAGCGCATCCGCTAGCCTCAGCGCCAGCGCATCGGCTGACTTGAGTGCCAGCGCTTCGGCTGACTTCAGTGCCAGCGCTTCGGCTGACTTCAGTGCCAGTGCCTCGGCTGACTTCAGTGCCAGCGCTTCGGCTGACATCAGTGCCAGCGCATCGGCTGACTTCAGTGCCAGCGGATCCGCTAGCCTCAGCGCCAGCGCATCGGCTGACTTCAGTGCCAGCGCATCGGCGGACTTCAGCGCCAGCGCATCGGCTGACTTTAGTGCCAGCGCTTCGGCTGATTTAAGTGCCAGCGCTTCGACTAGCCTTAGCGGTAGCGCATCAGCTGACTTGAGTGCCAGCGCATCTGCAGACTTCAGTGCCAGCGCTTCGGCTGACTTCAGTGCCAGTGCCTCGGCTGACATCAGCGCCAGCGCATCCGCTAGCCTTAGCGCCAGCGTATCTGCTGACTTCAGTGCCAGCGCTTCGGCTGACTTCAGTGCCAGTGCTTCAACTGATATCAGCGCCAGTGCATCTGCTGACTTCAGCGCCAGCGCTTCGGCTGACATGAGTGCCAGCGCATCCGCTAGCCTTAGCGTTAGCGCTTCGGCTGACATGACTGCCAGCGCATCCGCTAGCCTTAGCGCCAGCGCATCGGCTGACTTCAGTGCCAGCGCATCGGCTGACTTTAGTGCCAGCGCTTCGGCTGATTTAAGTGCCAGTGCATCTGCTGACTTCAGTGCCAGCGCTTCGGCTGACTTCAGTGCCAGTGCCTCGGCTGACATCAGTGCTAGCGCATCCGCCGTCATTAGTGCATCGGCGGATTTCAGTACCAGCGCATCGGCTCATTTCAGTGCCAGCGCATCGGAAGACATCAGTACCAGCTCATCGGCTCATTTCAGTGCCAGCGCATCGGAAGACACCAGTACGAGCGCATCGGCTCATTTCAGTGCTAGCGCATCGGAAGACATCAGTACGAGCGCATCGGCTCATTTCAGTGCCAGCGCATCGGAAGACATAAGTACCAGCGCTTCGGCTCATTTCAGTGCCAGCGCTTCGGAAGACATCAGTACCAGCGCATCGGCTCATTTCAGTGCCAGCGCATCGGAAGACCTCAGTACCAGCGCATCGGCTCATTTCAGTGCCAGCGCATCGGAAGACATCAGTACTAGCGCATCGGCTCATTTCAGTGCCAGCGCATCGGAAGACATCAGTACCAGCGCATCGGCTCATTTCAGTGCCAGCGCATCGGAAGACATCAGTACCAGCGCATCGGAAGGTATCAGTACCAGCGCATCGGCTCATTTCAGTGCCAGCGCGTCGGAAGACATCAGTACTAGCTCATCGGCTCATTTCAGTGCCAGCGCATCGGAAGACATCAGTACTAGCGCATCGGCTCACTTCAGTGCCAGCGCATCGGAAGACATAAGTACCAGCGCATCGGAAGGCATCAGTACTAGCGCATCGGCTCATTTCAGTGCCAGCGCATCGGAAGACATCAGTACTAGCGCATCGGCTCATTTTAGCACAAGCGCATCGACTGACATCAGCACTTCGGCAGATTTCTCAACGTCTGCGTCAGATAATGTTGATGTTTCTGCTTCGGCTAGCGATGATATCTCATCTTCGGTGTCTGCTTCAGGTAGTGAATCTCTATCTGCTAGCGCAGAATTTTCTTCTTCGGATAAAGGAGACGTCTCAGGCTCTGCTTCTGCATCAGGTAGTGTCTCTACGTCCGCTAATGCTGAATTTGCTCTGTCGACTAGCACAGACATCTCAGACTCTGTTTCAACGAGTGCTGCTATCTCTGGTGGTCTTTCTGGAAGTTTGGATACATCTGTAACAATGTCTGAAGAAATTTCTGAATCGTATGAGTTTTCATTGTCAGAATCTGACGAGTTTTCTGCCTCTGTGTCGGCTGAAAGGGAGTTGTATGATTCATTCAATTTTGACGGTGATAGTGTCAGAGACGAAGTGATACTTGAAGATGAAATTAGCGAAGGAGATTTCTTTGAATCGGTAAGTGCAAATGTCCTTCCTTTTTTAAAAATAAATTCTAATTGCGGTCTTAAAATTTGAATTTAATATTTATTTTGCATATCTTTCTCCGCATGTATATTACCACTAAGCCATAAGGCTGCAATGCCAGGAGGGCGGTCTTCTTCTCTAGCTATTACCACATTTATGTTTTAAGGATATGTATTTTTTGCATATGTAATATTTTCGAATTTTTCTAATGTTTTTCCGAAGCCTCTGAAATTTCTCATGTACATTATGTACATAAATCTGCAATGCTACGTAAGTTCCCATTAATTTCGTTCCTGTTATATATATCAAGAAAGCCAAAGTCTGATAGAAACGTAATTCTGAATTAAACTCAAATTCAATTGTATCACCGCGGTCTATGCGTATTTGAGTATGTTGTTATCTAAATCCAAGTTTTTCATTAAAATTGGAGAAAAGAATTCTTCTCGAAAGCTTTAGATTCAATATAACTTCTGAGATTACCATTGAGTGAAGTCTTCGTTTTGTGACGCTTGTGAATTACACAATTTTATAATTCTCCTTGAATAAATTTAAGTGTCAAATGATGCCGTTAGATGAAAATTGTCTCCCATCGTTTTAACAATATATGCATTCTTAAATTATCTGATATTATAAATCAACCAACGTCACATAACATTTTTTTACTATTAAAAAAATCTCTCAATCCATTCGTCTCTGTACTACTGGATATATCGCACCATCTACAATGAAATAGGGAACTTGCTTAATTGATCAGGAATTTGCTTTTGAATGAAATGCAATTCTAGTTAAAATTATGTATTTAGCGTTCTCTGATAACAGAGTCCTTTAGCTGTATATAAACATAAATGCTCCCCGGGAGAAATAACCGTTGTTTTTTAGAGTTTATGTGGCATATATATGCTGTCAAATTAATTACTGTATAATAATGTTTATTTTTATATTCCCTACGTTTCCACTAATTAAAGAAAGCTTTGAACTTCGCTCACCGTAAGCCTCTCAGGGGCTCACTTTATGTGAGTACGGGTGTGGCAATCCCGAGGTACCCTATCCCTTCAGGGGATCATCTTCTTGGTGAGACAGGTGTCACGATCCTAGAGATACAGTGATCTATCCTTTTTTACGTCTCCTCTCCTCTGACCTGATACATTTTCTCTTTGCATTCTCCCTTGTGGTTATCCTCTTCGGAGGTTCGGGCTCGCCACGAGAAACTGCAACTATCCTTGTTTGTTTGAGAAACCCTCCCACGTGTTTGCCGTGGAGACCCGTGTCGCTGGAAAGGAGGGTCCTGGTAGCTGAGGGGCGAGGTACTGTTCCTAACACACTGCTTTGGCCTCTGCTTCATCTAAACGGGAGGCACCTTAGTCGTCCTCACAGTTGTCAATCGGCTGGTCACTAGTCCTTGTGTCAGTGGCTTGGGGATAAGTTCTCGGGAGTACCTGCTTTCGGGAAAGCCGACTGTGGGGCTTCAGTTTGCGTATAGATCTGGCTAGCCCTAATAGGGGATTATGTGTTTCTTTGTTGGGCTCCTTGGTGGGCGGGGCCGTCGGACCCGAGTCATTTCTATTTTAATAATGGCTTCTATGTTTCTTCTTAAATCAAATGGAAACGACCAAAGTACTGAGGTTATTGATAAATCTCTAAATAAGAAAATACGTTCAGATGCAAATTTCAAGGAAACTACTAAGAATCCGCGCTTCCTTGTTGTCTCTAATCCTTCTGGCGAACTGCAGAAAATGTCCCGTTTCTAGTAAGCAAATATATCCATTCATGCATAGGCGAGGTAAGGAACATAAAGACTGGGATACAGTATCAATAGACTGGGATACAGTATCAATAAGCAAGTCTCCGGTCAGGAGACTTGCTTATTGATACTGTATCCCAGTCTGCTTCCATTTCACGACAAACCAAACTTGGAAAAGTATCTATAACTGTGTCAGCGCACAAAAGACTTAATTTCTGTAGAGGTGTGAAATCAGAGATCGACCTTCTGTGCGTCTCAGAAGAAGAGTTCGTCTCCGAGTTAGCTGACCAAAATGTCTGTGGTGCTAGGCGGATCAAGATGCGAAAGAAAGGTCAGTTAACTGACACGAAACACTTGATTCTGACCTTCAGTGCGCCTGATCTACCTAAGAATATTAAGGCCGGATACTTAAATTCTCCTGTAAGACCTTATATTCCAAACCCTATGCGATGCTTCCATTGCGAACGTTACGGCCATTCTAAGATGTTTTGTCGTGACAGACTCACATGAGCACAGATTGGCCACTATTCTGATAATTGTACCGCTGGACCTTCGTGTATAAATTCCAAGGGTGAGCACCTAGCATTTTCTCGCTTCTGCCCAAAATGGAAATCGGAAAAAGAAGTGCGGACTGCAAAAGTTAGTAGGAACATCTCATACGCCGAAGCCAGAAGATTAGTCCAGAGCACACAGCTTCGACCAAATACATCATAAATACATCATACGCCAGTGCTGTCAAATCATCTCGTACAGTTGCCAACCAAAATCAATAAGCACGCAGACTCTATGAAATAAAACCCAACCGACTACATCCAACAAGAAGAAAGAAAATTCATTTAATACTAGAAGTTCCAAGGCATTTACTTCCACGAAAAACTAAAAAGCAACACAGAAAAAAATTTATTCCAAACATTTATTCCTAAAATTCACCCTCGTCTTATGGAACTGTCGCGGTTTCCACGGAAATTTGCTCGACATCAAAGCTATAATTAATGCATATCATCCTCTATGCTTAGCAATACAGGAAACAAATCTGAAACAGGAACAAGCAAAACTTCGGAGGCTTTCTTTAGTCAGGAAGGATAACCTTGCAGGTGAGCGTGAAAGTGTGGGTGTAGGCCTCCTCACCTCACTGGACTATCCATCAAATGCACTTCCTTTGACGACATACCCTCCAAGTTTGTCGCTACTCAAGCTAAATTTCATATGTTGTTAAGTCGTTTCTGTATTACAGTCGTTTTCTTGTATTTGCCTCCAAATGAGCACAGTGATCAGCAAGGTTTAAATGCTCTCATAGAGCATCTGCCTCATATCATAATAGGAGATTTTAACGGCCATAGTCCGCTCTGGGGTAGTAAAGATACAAATCGCCGAGGAAGACAAATTGAGCGAATGATTGAAGATCATAGCCTTGGTCTCATGAATAATAGGCAGGATACTTACTTCCATGAGCCTTCAAAGACATTCTACACTCTCGACCTTGCCATCTGTTCATCATCTCTGTTGCCATTTTGCACTTTTAGTGTTTGAAATGATCTTTACAACAGCGATCACTATCCCATTTTTTTATCTCTTGCACGAAGAGGAGCAAATCCCATGTCAAGATCCCCTCGGTTCATACTCGATAGGGCAGACTGGGAACTCTTCTCTTCCGTTGCAGAACTCACAGAGGAAATGGTAAAAGATGTGCATATCGATGACGCTTTTCAAGTGCTGAAGGAAAGCTGTTACTAATACTATTATTCAGGCAGCTATGCTTTCCATTCCTAGACATATCAGGAAAAATACTAAAATATACGAAACCATGGTGGAATCGCGACTGTCATGAAGCACTGAAAAAAACAGAAAAAAGCATGGGGAATTTTTCGTAGATATCCTACTCTTGCGAAACCTCATAGCATTTAAAAGAGCCAAAGCAAATGCACGAAAAGTAAGAAGGCAGAGCCAAAGGATTGATTCCTGGATTTCATATGTGTCGTCATCAATAACATCCTCTACGCCTAGTAAGCGGGTTTGGGAAAGAGTTCGAAAAGCATGCGGATATATAAAGACCACTCACTTTCCTTTTTGGAAAAAGATGGCCGAGTGATTAGCTCAATAGAAGAAATTGCGAATACTATTGGTGAGACATTTGCTGCCGTTTCTTCCAGCAGAAACTATTCACCTGCATTTCTATCTATCAAGCAGCACTCTGAAAGATAATCCCATCGCATTCAACTCTTCCAAATCTTGAGCCTTACAATAGAGACTTTACTATGCTTGAATTAAGGAGAGCTTTGTTGCAGACACATAGGTCTTCTCCGGGTCTTGATGGCGTGAATTACGAAATGCTAAAGCATCTGTCCTATAAGTCACTGACTGCCCTTCTCACTCTTTACAATAGAGTGTGGAAGGAGCGTACTTTTCCCAGTGCATGGAGGAGAGCTGTTGTAATTCCTATTGCTAAGCCAGGGAAAGATCCAAGGAATCCCTCCAACTATCGGCCAATTGCCCTTACGAGTTGCGTATGCAAGCTGTTTGAAAAAATGGTAAACAGCCGCCTAGTCTACTTCTTGGAAAAGAATAATATTATATCGCCTTATCAAAGCGGTTTTCGAAAGGGGAGAACAACCGTAGATAACATGCTCCTCTTAGAGACATCCATTCGAAAAGCTTTTGTAAGAAGAAGTCACCTTGTCTCAATATTCTTTGATATTGAGAAAGCTTATGATAAGGCATGGAGATACGGTATACTTCGGGATCTTCACGAGAGTGGCTTGCGCGGCAACCTACCAATTTTCATTCAGAATTTCTTGAACACTAGAACTTTTCAAGTAAGAATTGGCTCTGTTTTGTCAGAAGTTTTAAAAAAGGAAAACGGTATGCCTCAAGCCTGTGTGCTTAGTGCAACCATGTTCAGCCTAAAAATAAATTCTGTATTACAACAACTTCCTCCCACCATTTCAGGATCTTTATATGTTGATGATCTACAAATTAGCTGTCGAGGTGCGGATAAGAGACATGTAGAGAGGCAACTCCAGATCGCTTTGAACAGGATCCAGGAATGGGCAAAACAGACAAGAATTTACGCTTTCGAAACAGTGCAGTTTTGTGTGTGCGTGCACTTTTGTAGAAAGCGAGGTCTGCATCCTGAGCCTGAATTATACCTTAATGGGTCAGTGATTCCAGTTGCACCTGAAATAAAATTTTTAGGTGTGATTGTTCGACCGAAAATTGACTTTTCTTCCTCATGTCTTAAACTTGACAAAAA